AGTGTACATAAATAAGCTATGCATATATCAGTATATATGCACGTACATAAATAATACATAGATACATAGATAATATATACAGACATACATAAATACAAACACACATATACGCACACACACACACACACTATATATACATACATATATATATATATACATACGTACATACATACATAAATACATACATATCTATGCCAACATTTAAACTCAAGAACGATACTACTTCTTAGTCTAATGAATTTTCAGTTTCAAAGTGCGGTGATGTGCATACCTTTTGCACTATCTTTCAGTGTAGTATCTATTTTCATTTCCCTGGCGGTCTTGATGTGCACCTTAATCTCCCCTGCTACCGTTTTGAGCTCAGCGATGCGCTCCTCGTTTGACATGATGCCGTGTGTATCTTATACGTACTAAGTATTCCGTACAAGGATGTATATATATATACTTGAGAGTATCGACCTGTAGTCGGACCCTGGCACAAGCTATAGAGTAGCGTTGCTAGACATAAACGCACAGTGTGTTCTGGCAATTTCTTCTGGGTCTAAAGTTGGATGTTGGTTACTTGCCGTGATGGGATACGATAACACCTGGATGCTCAAGACAACATGGAGGATAGTGAGAGGAACCACTCACTCTATGTCGCTTCACTCGCTTCGCACTTCTAAAAGGTTAGCTGGTGGGAATAGTGTTAATGTACATACAATTTTAGATCCAGAAATTGTATGTTTATAAAAATATAAAAAAATATAAAAAAATAAAAATCGAAGTTGATAAGGAATTTAGAGTTTTTTTATCGAGTTATTTAAAATCTGTATGCAAATTCAGCGACAGCGAATAAATAGTAAATACCTCGTTCTAAAAAAGACAATACACGAGTTTATTACTCATATCCGACGGAGTTTTAAATTCAAAATAGTTGTTTGAAAATGGGCTGATATCTATAAACCGTATAAGAATATCCGACGTATACCAAGTTTTACCTCAGGTATGAAATGTTGATGTCGTTAATTATTTTGGAGCCTTTCCCGTATAGTCATGGCAAAGAGTTTACACCAACAATACATTTTTAGTTCTAAAGTTTTTCTGAGTTGGTTTTCAACTATAAAAACCCATCTCAAAATATAGAATCAGGCGGGCCAAAACCCGCCATGGCTTTCAATTTTCCAGAAACTACCGACAAATACCATTTCGTTTCTCGTAGAAACGTTAAATCACTTTTTTAAGCGGGGGTTTTTTATTTATGCTCTATACTGTAGTACGGCCCAAAGCTCAGGAAGCGAGACATTTCAGCAAAGTCGCGGATGACGGACTTTTTGGTTCATGCTCATTTACGTCTAAACGTATAACGTTTACGTTCGGCATCAAGTCACGCGACTTCACTCTGGCACACCCATCACGATCACAAGAAGGGAGGGAGAGAGAGATCAAAAGTATTCTGAAGAGCATCATAAATTAAATCCATTTTAAAGATAGGTTTCACGAGTACATCCAGCTCACACAGGGATACCACCAAACATATTGTATACGTTTTAAAATATATTTACTTGTGCTTAAAAGTAGTTCATTTTGTACACGCGGAAGTGACTACATAATAATCTAAATATCAGCTGCAAGAGCTTCAGCAAAGTTATCAGAGAGACTCGGTGAACCTACAAACCGTATCAAGCATCTTTTCAAGGCGTCAAACACCACGCAACCAATTTAGGATCAAATATTAATCAATTAAGTGGTCAGAGCAAATACAAGTGTTGACTTTCACATATTACACATCATGGCTGAATACTTAGCGTCCATTTTTGGAACAGAGAAGGATAAGGTCAACTGCCCATTCTACTTTAAAATTGGTGCCTGTCGACATGGTGACAGATGTTCACGCCAGCACAACCGGCCTACATTCTCGCAAACCGTTCTGTTGCAGAACTTCTATCAAAACCCAGAAAACGTTCCGAAAAATCCGGATGGCACGCCAGGTGTAAATTTATCTCCTTCAGAGATACAGACATATTTTGAAGGTATGTGGAGGTGTGCATCTGAATGGAATTGCTTGTACTTGATACTATAATCAATGCGTCTATCGTTTAAGTTGATCTGTGTATATTGTGCTCCGTGAAAGTGTATACACACGTGCGTAAAACCGTAATCATACCCACGAATAAGTAGTTTGACTTTAAACTGCACATCCAGGTTCTGGACACTGGAGAAGCGCATTTTAACCTGAGATATCATAAAGCAAAAACACACACACACACACACATACACACACACACACACACACACACACACACACACACACACACACACACACAACACACACACACACACACACACACACACACACACACAACACAAAACACACACACAAACACACATACACACAC